CGGGGGTGCTTAACTTTTTTCCAGGTGTATATTAAGTGCAACATTATCTTAATCGATAATAGTATTGGGGAAAAAAAATAGTACATGTAATGCAGCAGAAATTTCATATTTTTGTGTATTTCCATGATATTCTAAATGAATACCACATTAGTTTATCTCTGTCATATTTTTAATTAAAGGAAATTACTCATGCTTTATTATCTCACTGTGGTGTATTGTCAGATGCACATATCTGAGTGAATTTAACTCGGAAAGTTGCAACAAAATACGGCAAGTAATGGTAAATTTGTCTCATACACATGACAAAACAGATTAGAATAGCATTGCAAATGAAAACCAGTTTAAAACATGAAATATATTCATGTAAACATGTTATTTTTAATGAAACATGTAAATTGCATTCTTGGATACACTTACACTACTTACACATATGGTACTTTACATACACATATGGCACTTTATTAGTTTTTCCTTCAATCATTTTACAGAAATAACAATACAATACAATATTACCATCAGCTCTATATTTTTTTTAGAACAAGTCACGACTGTGAAAATTAACATTTGCAACAAGGCTTACAATCATGAAGCTGTATCAAGCATTCCAGAAAACTTTGTATTTGGTAATTGGGTATTCCTAATAAGATCATGTTGCACACACTGTTGAAACATAGATCAATATTGACCATTTTTATTTGTTTTTTTTTCCATGTGAACGTACATAATGGAATTGACATGGAGTTGATTTTTTTGGGGGGTATATTTTCAACAAGATTAACAAATCTAATTGGATTTCTTAATTTGATTTTTTTTTTATGATTTATAGTGTTCCCCTTTCTGGTGGGTCAGTGGTAAGTTTATGGAGTTACAATGCTAAAATCTGGGGTTCAATTTCCCATGGTGGACATTGCAGGTAGTCCAATATGGCTTTGTGCTAAAACAAACAAGTGACTTGTAGTTTTGTTCTGATGATCCAAACATACAACATGGCTTCAGTTTCAGAAAAAATTATATTGCTAATGTTTCAGAAAATAAAGAAAAAAAGCTGTTACCTTTATGAACACAAATATTAGTAATTAGAATTATAGTCAGTGGAGTTTTAATTGATGTTTTTCAGTTAACAGAGATTCAGAAAATGTTAGTTAAAGTTAATTTTACATCACAAAGTATTAAATTGGTATTTCAAAAGAGTTAATGTAGTTTACATTTTACTAGGTATTGCAAACTTAAACCAGAGGTGAGGTAAGATTTCACTTTGTAAAGATAAATAATTTCGTATAGTTTATCACTGCACTTTCTTGCAGCACTGAAATTTACCACAGCATTGAATACAGAGTACTATAGGTTTTTTTGTAAATATCCTGTGCAATTTGAAGTAAGCCCTGTTTAAGATTTTTTTGGAATATTTTACTCATCACTCAAAAATATTTTTCTTTTTTTTGTAGTGTTATCCGATGACTCTGAGAAAGGTAAAGATATTTTTGGAGCAGAGCCATTTATTCCTTCAAGAACGACAGTGATGGCTGAAGACCCATTTGGAATGGGGAATTTCAGTTCTTTCAATATAAAACCCCAAGAATTGGAAAGTGCTATAGGAGCTATTGATAAAAAGCTATCGGAAATGAAGGTATAGAAAGTTTTGTGTAACATTTGTATTTATTGAAGGTGATAGTGTTCTTTCATTTTCATTGTAATATAATAATGATGCCTTATTTATCTGGGTTATATACGTAATAAATTCATAAAATTTGTATGGTATATGCAAGATGATTATAAAGAAAGTTTTTAGTTCAGTATGTTATATCTCACAAATGGTATGGCATAGAGATGAAATTGCACAGTTGTTAAGATTATCACGATTATGCAAGTTGTCACATTTTGCTACCAGGGGTACCACTATGTTTTCTTTCACATGGTTTCTCATGAGTATAAATGGGCCTGTCAGTTGTAGTGCAGCTCATTCAACAAACAAAATTGACAAGTGTGCAGAGAGGTAAACTAGTGAAATGTTATTACACCAAAGAACGCAATACCAAGGTAGCTTTCCAGGAATATTGAAGAGTGGATAACACCTTAAGTGGGTCTTGTTTCAATGTTGCTGTGTTCAAGTTCATAAAAAAATTTGAGGAAACAAGTTGCACTTATGATAAGCCACATACATACAGACCACTGACATCTACTGAAACTATCGTGTACAGCAGTGCACGTTATGTTGCTCAATGGCTGGATTTGTCTATTTCAACTGTCCATAAGGCTCTTCAGTCAACTTTTCAAATGTTTCCTTACAAGGTACTGCATGTCCAAACACTGAAAGAAACAGATTTAACCCAACTTGTTGATTATCTGTTGTTGCAGTTCTTGGCGAGGCTAAAATTGATGACCAAGTGACGTGCAATCACCTTATGGACTGAAGCACAGTTCACCTTTTCTCAAAGTGTTAGTACATGCAGTTGCATTATCTGGTTGGAAACTAATCAACATGAAACATTTCTTCATAATTCTAAAATGACAGCACTCTTTTTTTTTTTAAAAAAAACATCAGTAAATGAACTGCAAACCTGCATAGTCAATGCTGCATGGTACCTTGCAATACAAACATTGTGATTCCCGTGCTACGGCAATGAAATGTGATAGTCATTATGGTTTTTATGTAACATGGTGCCCTTATGCATATTTCTAACTAGATGAAAGATGTCTTGTGGGAACACTTTCAGAATAGAATAAATTAGTGGCACTAATGGCACTTTCCTTGTGAATAGTCACCTTGTTCACCAGACCTAATAACAGCAGATTTCCTGTTGTGAGGTACCTAAAGTTATGTATAAACCTTGTAAAACCTCACACAATTTCAGACCTCAACGATGCAATTTTTCGGGAAGTGGCCAGCATGTGATATGAGATGCACATTGTTGCTTTAATGTCCATTGGATGCTAGAGGAACCCATTTTTAACAGTTGCTTGAACTGATCAGACATTAGGTCATAGGGATGCTACTAGTGGCAACTTGTGGCATTTACATCTGCATGATACCATTGTGCAATTTTACCTTCATACACTATACTGTTTGTGAGATATGAAGAGCTGAAGTGTGAAACTTTGTTTTTAATCACCCTCTAGTATAATTTACTGTGTTAAGATATCTGTTCACAGTATGTTTTATTTAGATCAGGAAACAGTTCTCTGTTCATATATATGAAAATTTCCAAAATTTAGAAACCTCGTATATAAAAAAATAACTCTACAAATAGAAAAATAATTGTGATTATTTATAGAAATTTGAGGCATTTGTGTAAATAGGGATTTCTGTAAAGTTAATCCAAAGTTTACAGAATTGCAAAATGTATTTTGTAAGTATCTGTAAAAGTACATTTTAACAAGAGTACGGAAACATATTTATGTTATTATTATTAGATTTAATTTAATAATTTTAAGTAAATTAGAAAAGTACATTTAAATTTTATTAATTGTGTTGCCATATATAAATACTTTTATTCTAGTTGGGACACACTACAGTACGTGTCATGCTATAACAGCGTAGTGTCATTTTATTAACTGAATATCTGTTTATTTAATTAATAATGTTTCTGAAATGTACATCAGATTTTCTGATACAACCTTTTTATAGTTAAGATAAATTAATAGCTGCATATGCTTGTTTTGTTGATATTTTTGATAGTAATTATGATTTTATATGATTCATTTGGATTTTAGGATGGCTTCAGCCTTGGACTTTCCTTTGGAAATGAAGATTTCTCTTTGGAAACTTTGGACCCTTTAAATAACAAGACATCCTAATTTTTCAATCTATATCAAAATAATTTTACAAGATAAAAACATCTGGGCTCTAGATGCAATGAGGAACATCATAAAAGAAATGCCAGATTAATATAATTAACATTATGGGATGATAACAAATGATGATCTTTTTACACTGAAAGAAAAATAGTAGTATTGTCATGTTTCAATGACAAAAAAAAAGATCTATGGTGATTATTTGTACTTACTCAACATGTGAAATGTTTTGTACTCTTGTGTAAAAAAACAGTAACTTTTAAACTATATCAAACAACTTGTTTTTTAATCAAGTTGAGAAGTGTACAAAATTTGGCATTTTATTAATAATAAAAGACCAAGTCTTTTTTTTTGTGTTCATTCAAACCTGTGGAAATCATAATATATGTTTTTATCCAAATGGATGTTTAGTGTCAAATCATTAAAATCCTAAGTTTAATATAGTCTAATACCTAACAGTATGAATAAATAACTGGTTTTATTAAGAAACTATTCAATAGATGAAGCTTTATAATAAATTTTTAAAGCTTTACAAGTGTTGTTTTTTTTAATATATGCATAAAATAATTATTTTAAAATATTTCTAAAGGTTTTCAGTAGGGAAGACTTATTTAATACATCAACATTTCTACCCATAAAAATGGACCATAAGATTATTTTCCTGCTGTAAAGCCATTTATTGTATTTCAGTAATTTCAAAATTTTTTATACATATTTTTTTAAATTGATAAGAAATTTGTACTCAAAACACAAAAAGCAGTATTTGCACAAAATCTACTTTGTTTCATTTACTACATCCTAAATCTTATGAATAGTATAACTTTAAATGGATCGACATCCAGTTTTCATATACTGTTAAGTTACAGTGATAAATTAGAGGACAATGTGTATGTGGACTTGAACAGATGCTTTAGGGAATTTTAATTCATCACACAAAAATAAGTACACTTTGGTAATATAAACATAAAAACCAATATGATAGCCATTTTTAACTGTAACTTTGCTTTACTGTGTTCTTTATGTTAATGATCAGAAATAATTAATATTACATAAATATTTCTATTCTATAGTTACAGTACTTTCTGTTGTGATTCACAGTTGTCTGTGGTATTTCTCTAAGCTTGTAGTTTAGACGACTTGTACAGATGATCATTCTAACACTATCACATGTAATTAGTTACTTTTCTTTAAATTTTATTTCTGTACTTGTACAGCTATGTATTTTACTTGTAGCTAATCATACAGATGATCCATTCAATTAAAACATTACTGGTATAATACTGGGTGTAGAAAATTACTTCACTGAAACCTCATTTATTATAAATAATAGTTTGTGCTTAAGCTTTTAAGAAAAATTAGGCTTATAGTTTTTGTGGTCACACTAATTTCTTATGTCAGTTGTTGGATAATAATGATTGCTTATTGAATGGTTGAAATACATACATTTTTTTTTTAGTATTTTGATAGCCAGGACAACATGATACTTTGAGATTTTTAATCAGACAAACAATGTATTAAATTTTATTGTTCAAGGGATATTTGTATTCTAAAAATACTTCTGATTGTTTATTTCACACACATATTTTTTTCTTGAAAATTTTGACACTGTTTTTACATTGCCAAGTCTTTCAAATAATACAAGTTGAATAGAAGCTGTCAAACATAGATGTGGTATATAGATGTTTTTATAATATGAAATGGATGATTGAATATATATATATCGATCTTTAATGACTCCTAAGAAAAGATGAAATCTATTTTATACCATACGTATGGGTAGGAGTGGCTTTTTTTTTATGATCTGTTAACTAATTAAATTGAGCTTGTAAAAAAATAAAGTATAATTTCACATATTGTAGATCTTTAGTGATTTAATATTTATAAACATTTTACTTCACTAATCTTTCAAAAGGTGAATTAATTTAACTTCAAAATATCTATAATGTCTTAATTTACAATTCAAGTTTGTTAAAATAAAAAAATACTTTTTAAAAAATGGGAAACAATAATCCTTTAGCAAATTCATAAATAATGCTCCGAGTTGGCTCTTTGTAGATGTGAGCCACTGAATTTGTATAGTATGTATTATTAAAATGATAAGAGATGTGGGAAAACGATGTCACTGGGATATTCTGCAATGAATAGTATTCTAGTAACAGACTAACTCAATTAATCAGTTACCTGTGAGCATTGATTAGTGTTAATTAAAATTACAATTAAACTGATTAATGTCATGAAAATAATCAACTAATTGAAATTATTACTTCCATTTATTATTTTTTATTAATTCAGGACTGTTCAGGTTAATTGATTAGTGTCGTGACTCACAAGAATGATCGACTAATTAAAGTTAGTATTTCTGATTATTGCAATTTTTTATTATTCCCACTGTTCAAGGCTTATGTGAGAATAATTAAATACTTTTATGCACATGAGTGGGTCAAAATGCACATGTCACAACCTTAATTTCAAAATGAAACATTTAAACAAATTCTCTATCTTCACTTGCCTGTGTCTTGAGCACTAAGTTTCCCTTTATATATTTTCTTTGTACTTTATATGGGTTTCAGAGGTTCCAACCAATGAGATACATAAGCTATAGATAGTGGCAGGCCAGCATATAGAATTCGAACCTCCTTCCTTCTTGATTTTCTAAAATATCAACAAATTTGTAAAACCCAATAAAGAAGCTCCTTCTATCTTATAGTAACTTTAGGGTAGTTTCTAAACCTTGTGGTTAAATGTGTAATGAACATGTTTATAACCAATACAAAGAGCACTTTAAACTTCCTTGGCCATTGTGTTTGTTTGTTTACTTTCATTAGTTTTCAAATAAAGCTTCTTGTTGCTCTGAGCAGTAATGGAATTTTTTAAACCATTAATATTTATTTAATATTTTAGCTAGTTAAGTGATAATGATTTTGTGACCTTCTGTTCTAGTATTTGATATAGCTTTTGTGCTCTAAAATTCATATTTGAAAGCTACACAAATTATTGTTTGGAGAACCATCATAGTGAGAAAAAAGCCAAGTAATTAAAGCATGACATTTGAATGCAGTCAGCTTTAATGCTAAAGTAAGTGCTAATGTTCTTGTTTCTATATATATATATATATTTTTTTTTTAACAGAAGTAATTAAAATGTAAACAATTAGAAATTTAATAAGTTAGGTAAAACTTAAATGAAAAAAAAATTAATTTCACGAGATCAGCTAGTGATTGTAACTTGATTAGTTGTTTGCACTTAGCTCTCCCACTGTGTTTTATTGCTTTTCATTTAGTGAGAGAGGGTCAAAGATACACTGTAAAGTAATAAAGGTATAATAAGTCAGAGTTGAAAAGGTTAGAAACTGAAGATATTAGGGTAAATAATCATAGTTGTCTGTTACAGTCTGCAGTCATTCTAAAAACTAGATGTTATTGATTTTTCATTTCACTGTATGTTGATGATTTTGAACAAGGCCTCAGGGTCAGTAATATCATTGGGCTCTCCTTTCTTTCTATTTATTAACTTTTGCTGATTCTTCATAAGAGAAATTTATGAGACAAATTTCTTCATGAATCCATAAAAAAGCAGTAGCCATTTTAGCTCATTAAGTAGTATGCATTTCTAATGAGCTTTGGAATATCTCATTGCCGGGCCCTGGGGTAGCTGCCCCCCCCTCTCCTCTCGTCAGCCTAGTTTTGTGCTACAGTTAAGTGTTAGAGAAAATAAGAAATGAAGTATAAAGTTTTAGCAATAAAAACTTTTCTGATATCTCTATTGGCTATGCAAGTAAAATATGAAACTGTAAGATGAAAAGCAGTATTTCTACTTTTCATTCAGGCTGACATAGTACAGACTCTACAAATTTACAAACAAGTTTTTGATAAAACTACCTTATCATATAGTCTGATTTTTGTGCACAACAGACTTGTAATGTTTACTTAGACCTTGTCAAATTTTGTAAAGATATACCTTGTACACTTAGAGTTGTGTATAGTTTCACAGTTACATGATGGTTACAAGGTTTTTCAAATTGATAAAGCCTGTATACAAAGGGTTAATGAGCCCAATGATTAATCAGTCAGCAAATTCCACTAATTGCCCACTTCTACACTAGACTGTTTAGTTTAGCTGGAGGAAAGCTATTTGCATCACTTTTAATCTATATTTATCTCCTAAAATAAAAAATAAATAAATGTGGAAGAATAAAAAAACTTTTATATTTAAGAGCAATACAAGAAAGTTAATCCAACTGATCTGCATTTTCAAATACGTTTGAATGACACTAGCTTTCAGGATTGTGTCAACTTTTAAAATATGTTTGAATATTGTCTAATCACTTGCCTCTTCAGAAACACACGAACAGGCTTTTACAGAATGATCAATTTGATGATTAATAGAAACTAAATGCTTAAACTTGATAACAAAAAACAACTTCTTTCATAATCTATCAACATCATTAGACTTATCTGTTTTTATGCAAAAATATGGATGAAATTAAAAGATCAATCAACATCAATTCAGTACAGAGATTTTAAAATGTAATATATCTATTTTTTTTTTGAATTAACAGATTTCCAATACATCTGGTTTACTGATGAATAGATGTATTTAACAAAATATATTTAAATCGGATGAGTGAGTCAGAACAGGAGAAACATTGTAATGTATTTTCTGTTATCATACTTTTTAGAAAGTAACATTAACAACATAAACATTCATCATTTATTACTTTAGATTGACACTTGATTCTTACAGTCAAGAATGGAAATTTTTATTATAAGTTGAATTTTCAAAATAGTTTTTAATACAAAGCACACATAAAAATGCAGTGTGAGATTAGATATGTTGGTTCTGAACTTAACACTTTGTCTGAGGCTACAGAAGAACAACATAGTGAGCTTAACTTTGTTACCAGTAGGGAATTTGAGTATTTTTACAAATTGGTATGCTTTTGCATGCCAGAGGCTTAATTAATTAGGTAAGAACTGGCTAATATCTATATAAATTAAGGCACTTAATTATAGTGAGATTCATTTATTATGAAGCAAATACCTTATTTTTACAGTATGATTTTCTAGATATTACAACTAAAAAAAAATTACTTGTGCAATTGTTTCCATTTGGTATCTCTTTAAGCTTTAATAAAGTTTTTGATCAATGTCCACCAAAGGTGGTATTGATGATAAAACAATGAAATATCACTTTTAAACAAGCCCCATTGTTGCAAAAATAAAATAAATAGGCTATGCATAATTTTACAATTTAAAGTTTTTGAACCCTGGCTCTAGAATGATCTTAGTATCTTATAAAATGTATTTTTCCCTATTTGTTGAAAGCATCCCAGTGTCCAGAAAAATCCCATATACATGTATCTCTTCCTTTACATATCCTGTCTTTGTTGTATCAGTTAGTGAGAGACTTACTAGATAACTAATTTTTTCAATCTCAAACTTACTGAAATGGAAGTAAAAACCTAGCTTCTTCATCTAGGCTATAGACTAGCTAATGAGAATGCCCTACCCTTGATCTTTTACCATGTCTGCTATTTTTTAGTATTGACAGTTTTGTTTCATCGTTTTCTACATTTTCACGTTGATGTTTGCATTTGGTAATGAGGTCTTCCACCACTGTTACAGCAGTGTCTTGTTTGGTCACTTGGACATTCTTCAGTTTTTCTTTTAATCATTTAAAAAACCTTAAGGATACTCTGTAAATCTGGAATGAGAGAGAATGAATTACAAAAATCATTATTATGTTATGATCTAATCACCTGTTCTTGTTTTGGTCAGTAGTTGATCTCATTATTACTTTCAGTCCTGAAGTTGACTGATATTGCAACTTACAGATGACTTTACTATTGTAACATTAAAGATTAATCTTGACTCTCTTACACTTGTACAAGTAATGTGTATAGCACGGTTACCGTATATCAGCCAGAAACTGCAAGGGACATAGGTACTGTCCTGCATATTCTTCTGTTTTTGTGCAACCTTTATACCTTTGTGTGTTTGCAACAACTACAGTGGTGGCATGTCCAACCAAAGTCCTGTGGTCCATCTGTGTATAATTTGCTCTTTCCTAAAGAAGAACAGGTGATACTGATAGTTGAAATGCTTATAGCAGTGTCCTACACAATTACATTGAACTGATATAATGCTGATTTTCTGCAAGACTAACAGCTTTGATGCCTAGAACAAAGTTTCAAATCTAGAGTCTAATCTTTAACTGGCCACTTTTGTTTCTCTGTACTGACTTTGACTTTCCATGGGACGTGTAAACCACAATCAAGCTAATATGGCTATATTCATTCTTTCAAATAAAATTCTTAAGTCTATGACCACATTCTGTGGTTAAGTACTGTATCTCTTTCTTCTAGCCAAGCCAATATAAATATTCCTTCCTTTATATTCAGTTATCTTTAACCCCCCTTACAGTTGGCCAAAAATTGATTATGTACAATTTATCTGGATATTCACTCCTTATCCTATTATTTTTCTCATCAACACAAATGATGCAGTGCCAGCACTAGATATTTGCATCCTCCTTGGACTTCAGTAAACAGAACTGATTTTCAAACTGGATGACTCTTATCAAACACTCATATCTTCTAATATTAGTCCATACAGCATTTCTAGGTTCTTGGTTCTCTAAATGTTAGAAACTACCAACTTCATCAATAGAGAGACTAGATGACCAACATTAACTAGTGCTAGTAGATTATTCTATTCCCTTTATCTAATAATTTCTATTGGATCTATAGACTGACCATCAGTATTGGTCAGCAAGAAAGCAGCTGGTCACAGTTTACTATCCTGCTTTGGGTGCAACTACCAAGCCATTTTTGTCAGCAAGCTAAACGTTTT